CTTTGGATGTGCCTAGGTGGGTAGCTGGGGTGCACACGCATGAGGCATGAGGCATGAGCATGACCTGCTGAGCTGCAGGTCACTTTACATCCTGCCTGTGCCCGCTCAGTGCACTGCTGAGAAGCATTACGCAGATCTGATCCCCACTCCTTTGGCAGGGGATGTTTCCATTTTCTCTCTAGAAGTTTACAGGGTCTTCTCTCTGTCCCCAGTGCCCTGGAAGGCTGTGATGATGTGTGTTTGGAGGGGTCCTTTGCATCTGTGCTAAGGACCTCTTGAGTGTCTTCTGCAACACAGTGCCAGCTCCCCTGCTCTGGGGAACATTCTCAAAAGCTCTGTGTATTCCCTCCCACTTCCCTTGCCTCTGCTCTGGACCTCCTGGACCAGTCCTCTCATGTTTCTTACCTTTTTATCCCTTTTTTTTTTTTTTTTGGTTTTTTTTTTGTTTTTCTCCGGTACTGGGAACCGAACTCACGACCTTGTGCTTGCCAGGCAGGCGCTTTGCCGCTGAGCTAAATCCCCAGCCCCCCTTTTTATCCTTTTTCTGTACCTATTTCTTCTACTTTCAGATAAACTTTCTCAACTTTATCTTATAAATCTACTAAGATTTTCATTTAGTTCTAGGTATTTTTAGCTCCCCAAAGTCCACTTTCTCCTCTTTGGATTTCCTTTGGGTTCCACGCTCTGTAGCACTATTGAAAGCCTGTTCTTACCCCTCTCGGCATAACCAGGACACAGTTTTCCTCTGCTCTAATCCTCTGTTCCCTGTGGACTCACTCACTTATTCTGCTCTATATTTTTCACCATGGGGGGCTTACTCTGTTGGATGTTGGATTCACTGCCTTTGCATCATCAGTCACTAGGGGAACCCTGAGCAGGCAGCAAGGCCCGCCCTCTATGGCTGTACCACACGTCTCAGCTGAGCTGGCCACAGTTCTCCTGGGCCTGTCGGCTTCTCTGGTCAAGTTGGCTGAAAGGCCACCTTGGGATTATCTCAGCACCTGCCTCAGCCTTGCACTCTGCTCGGAACTCCCGCCCTGACTGGAGCTATCCAGCGCCCTCCTCCTGCCCTCTCCAGAGCTGTGGTGAAGATGAGTCCATTGGACTCATGAGCAGATTGTGGGGCCCACCCAGGGCTTCTGACTCCAGGGGTCAGAGCTGGGGCCTGAGAATCTGCATCTGTCTAAGAATGTATTTTTATTGGTACATCTTTGCAGTACATAATGATTACATTCCTGATGGGAACTGGCACAGGTACATAACACACCTCAATTCTTTTCTCATCCCCCTTCCCTCTAATACCCCCCCTCCATCTCTTGGTCCCCTTTCCATCTGCAAGATATCTACCTCCCTCTTTCCTACCATCTATCCCTCTGCTCAAGTCTCCACTATGCTTCCTCCACCTTCCTCAGCTTAGCCAGCCACCCCTCCCCAGTATCCCTGGCTACTGTCCTATGCCCCTTGGGAATTTTGTGGCCTGAGCATCCTGGATCCTGTCCCAGGCACTGGCTTAGAACCAGCTTTCCTGAATCAGCTTGGTCACCAACCCCTCAACCACCCACTTTCCAATGTGAAAGCTTGTGGCCACATTCTTTCTCTTTCTGTGGGTGTAAGCCTTAAGGAAAATGAAATAAAAACCAACCCAGGAGCCTGGGATTGGGAGGTGCAGTTGGCCACCTGAGCAGAAATGCCCACACTGCCCCAGTGCCTCCTTTCCATCCTCTAGCTGGCCACATCTGGCCTGGACCTCTGCTTGCCCTCATCTTCTAAATTCCAGGCAACCCTGGCACTAATTTGTTCCATGGGGGAAACTTGGGGGTTTCTCAGTATCCCTCAGATGTGAGGTAGAGACCCATCTTCTGAGCCTATCTGCCGCAGCCTAAAACACGTATCATGGCCAGACTCTTAGTACTGGGCACCCAAGGCCAACATGGGGCTGGTTGACAGGAGCAGCACAAGAGGTTTTACTAGATAAGTGAAGAAAGCAGTCCCTGGGCAGAGGCTCAAAACCAATCTGTGACATCCATCATGGCAAGAGGGTGTCTCCAAAGAGCCTTTTCAAAAACACCTGCCAAAAACACTCCAGTGACACCCAGACAGCACAAGCTCAGAGAAGTCATCCCACAGGGATACAGACTGGCCTGTGCAGCCGCAGCCCAAACCACAGAGAAGCCCTTGTGGTGGTGGAAGCCGGAAATACACCTAGAACTGACAACCTCTGCTGGGCAGTCCCAAGGGAGGGCCTTCGATTGCTCCTGGCTTCTGTTTCCCATCTTCGCTGCATGGAAGTGCAGCATGAAATGCTTGTCAAAGGCCACAAAGCCTATCAGGCAGCAGGGGACCCTTTTCACAGCATGCTCTGTCACCAAGCCTGGGCCAGGCTACGGCTCTGTGTGCTTCTGGGGTCACATGACCAGGCAGGTGTGTCAGCTCCAGCAGTCTCCCACGGCCTGGCTGCTGTTGTGGGCCTCAAGCAGAGGGCGCCAATGAGAAATGAAAGTCTGGAGCGGAAGGGGGCAGAAGCATAAAGACCCCTCAAGCAGTGAGGTGCTCAAAGCAGTACCTGAAGAACCAGCCCCAAGCCCAGCTGGTCCTCATACCATGTTGCTTATTTCCTTTGCTACACCAGGGAAGAGGGAGTAGGAACTCTGCCCCAGGCCTGGCTCTGGCAAATTTCTTAACAAGCCTGGATGCTGGGCCAGAGAAAGGGGTGTGTGGTGGATTAACTAATGGTCAACTTGTAACACCCAGCTGAACTGAATTAGCGTGGTTCTGGGTGTGGAAGGCCCACCTGAGGATTGTTGCCAACAGCATAAAAGGAGAACTGGAGGGGAAGATGGTGCTGCTGATTCTCCTGGAAAAGCTTGTCATGCTGGTTTTCCTGATATGAACTCAGCTGTTTTCATCACTGAAAGAGCTTGGGGACTTGCTGTTGCTAAGCATGGAACCTCTGGTCCTTCCTTTGAGTGTCACTTCCTGGCTCCAGTGCAGATTCCACTGGTACAGACTTTCTAGCTTCCACCATTGACCCTTGGGCCTTCCCAGGGCAGACCCTTGATACAGACTTGAGACATTGTTGTGGGCTCTAGGCCTCCAGTTGGACTCATGGAGGATACTGCCATGGGCTCTAGGTCTTCAGCTGGACTAGTGCAGGACACTGCTGTGGGATCCAGGCCCTGCATTGGATTCTTTGAGTCTCTAGTGCATGGACAGATCTCTTGCACTCTTCTGCATTTCACTTTTTGGGTGAATATTATAAATAATCCTATAAATTGTGTGTCTTGTATCAAATCTATTCCCTTGCAAACCCTGACTACAACAGGATGGGACTTGATAAGGCCAATGTAAGTGCCTACCTGAAAACCTGAGCTGCACAGGGTGGGCCAGGCACACACGTGTAGGTGCTGCCACAACCCTGTGAGCTCACAGGCCACACATGAGGTCCTGGGGTGACAGATTCAGTCCTCCAGGAAGGGACAGGCAGATTCAGTCCTCCAGGATATCAAAGGTGTAGATTCCTGCCTGTTAGCAGCTGGACCTCACGGTGGTCTCAGAGAGGACACTCGCTAACTGGGTACAGTGGCTGGTGGGGTCCTGGAGATATCACATGCTGAGGACAGCCATGGGGACGCAGGAACAAGACCAAGGACAATGAAAATACAGACAATGTGCAGTTACTGAGTACTTGCTACATGCCAGGCTCTCTGTAAGGGCTTCTAGGCTTCACTGCCAGTACGGCTCTGACTGCCTAAGCGACAGCTGATGTGAGGGGGACTGTAGATGGTCACTCCAACCCTGGCCTGGCTTCTTCCTATGACTCAACATCTGCACACCAGCCCTGCGTTGGTCCCAGGTCACCATCTCAGCACTCTATACAAGGTGGGAAAAAACAGGAGGGGATGACAAAGGGCTGACTTGGAGAACGAAAGCCATCTGCCCAACACCACTCTGCACTTCAGGAAAGGCCCAAGAAGACAGCTACACTCTCCCAGTTTGTGAGGATGCTGAATGCTTCACAGAATGAGTTGACAAATACGTGGGAAGCAAAGAGAAAAAGGCTTCACTGGATGAAAGGCAATTCAGAAAAAAACCACAAATTGCATTTAAAGAAAATAGCCAGGTGGGCATGGTGGTGGTGCACACCTATAACTCTAGCACTCTGGCAGGCTGAGGCAGGAGGACTGCAAGTTCCAGCTTGGCCTAGGCAACTTAGTGACTTATCAAGAGTCTACCTCAAAATTTAAAAAAAAAAAAAAAAGTTTTGAAAAGGGCTGAAGGTATGTGTATAGCTCAACATAAAGGCCCTGGGTTCAATTCCCAGTACTGCCAAAAACAAGTTGAAACACATGCCCCTGTAAACATCCCCCAGGGCAAGGTGACAAGGGTGATCACCAACATCAGAGCAGCTGTTGCCAGGTCACCATGAGACCTAGTGGGGAGTAGGGCCAGCCACCCCAACATTGCTGGGCCTCAGGCTGTAGGGTGGACACACCCAGGGCAAGGCATGGTGTGAGCAGACTCCAGCTGTCACTTCATTGTGGCAGAGGTGACAAGCGCAGGTCCCGAGGTTGTTACCTTGATTTACAGACTGAAGCGGGCGGTGCAGGCAGTGACACCGTGGCCAGCCTGGAAGGCCTCTGTGGCAGGGCCCTGGGCTCTGTGGAGGGTACTTAGTGCAGTGAAAGATGGCCCTGCTTTCACAGAGGATTGGATTTGCTCATGATTAATGGGGCACACAGCAACTGATAAATGGTATTAATTTGTTTGAGGGGTCTGAGAAGACCGTGGTTGCATGCTTCTCCACAGCTGCCCGAATTATTTCCTGCTGCCCACAGCCATGGATGACTGACTCTGTTTGCACGGTCCCTGGTGACGCAGAGCAGCTCTGTGGAACATGTTGCTGGTGTGCCCTGTTCAGCCACCCATGTGGACCTGCTGCTCTGGCGTGACAGGTGCCTGGAGGACCTGCTTGTGGAATGAAGGCCAGGCAAGGGGCCTACCTGCCACCTCTTTGGATGAGGCCAGGCCAGTGGTGGCCTCCAGGTCAGTGGGCATGGGGCCTCCTCTCTCCAGGGCATGCACGAGCCCCCGCAGCCGCTCACACTCCTCCTGCAGCCGGTCCCGCTCCTCACGTAGGCGCTGCTTGGCCAGGCTGGTGGGGTTGAGGCTCATGTGCAGCACTTTGGTTCTGCTCTGGTCATAGTCGCCCTGTGGGACCAAGCACAGCACAGGGTCATCTCGGTGGGGGGGTTGGCTTTGGGAACAAAGACAGAAGAACAGGATGCTCATAAACCCAGCGTGAGACTGGAGAGTTGCTCAGTGGGCTATCTCCTGCTCAGCATCACGAGGTGGCTGCCAGGGAGCCACAGAGCTGGCACAGTCTCAGCGCCTGTGAGCTGCAGGGTGAGCCCAGTGAGGCCCTTCACCTGTGCAGGTGCTGCATGCTCACTGCCCAATATGGGGAGAGGCTGCCTGACACTGACCTTGAAGAGTCACTGAGATAACGGGAAGATAGTAGGTGCCACATGCTCCTTGGGACATCACAATCCTCAGTACACAGGAATCTCCTGCCTTGTTTCCTGGGGATTGAACTCAGGACTTTCACACTGAGCCGTATCCCCAACCGCTTTGTAAGACAGGATCTTCCTGAGTTGCTAAGTTGTGCAGATGGGGCTAAAACTTGGGATCCTCCTGCCTCAGCCTCCCAGAGTGCAGGGGTTACAGGTGTGCACCACTGGACTCAGAGTTAAATATCAAAAACAATTTTTTTTGTCTGTTTGAGACAAGGTTTTGCTATGCAGTTCTGGCTGACCCTGAATCGCAGCGATCCTCCTGCCTCAGCCTCTTGAGTGCTGGGATTACAGTCATCTACCACCATGCCTGGTTTAAATATCAATTTTAAGAACATATCATGATGTAAATATTCAAATGACTGATATCTTACTACCTCACAGTGCAGCCCTGGGAGGTACTACATCTATCTTCTCCCCAACAAGTGTGTAAGTGGAGGGTCCCTAATTAAAAAGCAAACAAGCCTTTGTTTTTCAGAATGCTTTTAGACTTTGGAGAAACTGGGAAGGTGGTGAAGAGAGTCCCCACAGACCTTGCACCACTCTCCACCACTACATCTCGCAGGGGGAGTGTGGCCTACCTGTCATAGTCCAGACCCAGCCAGGCACCTCAAAGGGGAGGAACCAAGACAGATGCCCCAAGTATCACACCCTGTTAGAGGTCTATAGTCAAAGAGATGGGTATTACTCGAGCAAGGGACACCTAGATATCCTTGCTAAATGCTAATTCCAGAGGGAAGGCGGGTGTGGTGGTGCATGCTTGTAATCCCAGTACTTGGGAGGCTGAAGCAGGGAAGATCTTTGTGAGTTCAAGGCCAGCCTGGGCTACAAAGTGAGCTCAAGGCCACCCAGAACTGCATAGAGAGACTCTGTCTCAAAAAGACAAAGAAAAAAAAAAATCAACTGAACAAAAAGTCCAATGAGATCACAAAGATAAAGTTTAAAGAAAACAGAAACACATCTTCTTGACCATGGAGTAGACGCTTAAAGAACATTAAGAACTATCATCCAGAAAAGGAGGGAGGACCCCAGACTCATGACCACTTAGAGGTGCTTTTCCATTGGAGCAGAGAGCCCCTGGAGAGTGGGGAGAGGCCTGACCCATCCATGGCAGAGGACCTGTGAAACTAAGAAAGAACATTTCAGAAAATTCCACTTAAAAATGGGCAGAACAGTCTCTACTCTCTCCTGTTGCTTTCGGTATCTTCCACCACCACGAACTGTTGCCCCTCGGCCATGCCACCCTGCCTTGGAGCCAGCTGACTATGGACTGAAACCTCCACAAACTGTGGACTGAATTAACCTTTCCTCTTTTACCCTCGGGTGTCGGGTATTTTGTCTCATCAACCAGAAAAATAACTAAGACACTACTTGTACCAGAGGCGGCGGGAGGGGATGGGCAAAACCCACAAACAGACACTTTACAGAAGGGACACAAGGAGCTGGTGTGTACACAGAAGGCGCCTATGCATCAGGGGAACCAGGCTGAACCAGTGGAGTGCCCATGGCATGCAGGACAGGTTGATGGACACCCAGTACGCAGCAGCACAGACAGGCTCACTGCAGGTCGCTTGCGTATATTGTGCCCACCTTCCTGTCTGAGACTGAAGGTGGCCTTGCCCCTTCAGAGCCAGGACAGACTTCCATACAGGGTCTGAGGAGACTTGCAAGGTCACAGAAAGGAGCCACCACTGCCCTGAGCTCCAGGGCTCCTCCAGAAGGACAGGCCACTGCAGGGCAACGGAGGAGGAAGGCCTCAGTCTCCTCTGGGTCCCAGCGGCTTCACTGGGTTATTGCAGAGGGGAACCCACTCCCAGGAGACCCTGGCCAGAGACAGTACCGGCAGTGCATGTGTGGCCCAGGGATGTGGTGCCCCAGGGTGTATGGAGCAGTGTGCTACTGGGGTTGGAGTCCATCCCTTGAGTTGCAGAAGCCACTGGTCTCTGTCAGGGACAGACACTGAGCCACAAAGCAGACACTCCCACAGGTGGGGACTTCTTTGTGTCCACCTCTGGTGAAACGGCGTCCACTACTCAGACCACTGGGTGGTCCTGGGAGAGGCCGGGTGGAGACAGTGTGTTAACCACAGGAGCCTCTGGCCTCCAGCTTCACAGCAGTTCAAGCTGCTGTGGGCTACGGTCCTGCCACCAAAGGACAGTACGGCCTAGAATAGGCTGTGCCCACCTTGTGCCCTCACTGGGGCCAGAGCTGGTCGGCCCTTGACCAGCCACCCAGACTCCACAGGATGTGCCTCCAAAGCAAAGCGGGGCCTGGGGGAGGCAAAGTAAGATTCTGCCCCAGTGTGCCACTTTCTGGAATAAAAACATGCTGACTGCTGGTCCTGAAGTTCCCTCTTAAGAGGTCAGTGGGGACAGGATACTGACATGGGCCAAAGACCCAGGGGCACCACAGTGATGGCACAGGGCACTTCTGGGAGCAGCTGGGTTTGCACACACAGTGCCCGGGTACATCCTCTGTGTTGTCCCTCAGGCTGGGAAGGATGAGGCCAGGCAGGAGGGAAGGGGGAGCCACAGCAGGTTGAGTGGGACACGATTCCCAGGCTCCTCACAGGCTTTATGAGAACCTTGTAAAACCCCCAAAGGATGAAGACACTCCTGGAATTCAGCTGAATCAGACTGTCAGAGCTGAAAGGGATCGTTATTTCATTCAATTTTAACAGTCTGGGGAAGATAGCCAAGTGTGAGAAATCCACCTGCCCATGCAGCGCTGGGACAGCACCATCTCTGGGGCCTTGCAGGCAGACATACACCAGCCTCCTTCCCCTCACAGAGCTAGCGAAGCCAGTTAGGGTACTGGCAAGCCGGCCCAGCATTTCTGTGGAGTCAGACGGCTGGTCTGGGCTTCCCAGGGTGCCCTGTAGCTCTGGTAAGAAAGCAGCCACACAGACAGGATAGTAGCCATGTGCTAACGAAGCCACATTCACGGGCACAAATCACAATTTCCTGTAATTTTCATGTGTGCGCAATATTCTCTCCTTTTGTTCTCTGCATGCTTAACTGCCTTTATACATTAAAAAGGCGTTACCTGACGCCTGGAGGTAGCAGAGCCCTCTACAGACAACCTGGGGCGGGGAGACAGGCAGGGACATGAGCTCTGTCTAGGACATCCAAGAAGTGGCTAGCGACCTGGCACATGGAGGTCAGAGCAGGTGACCCAGTGGGGAGCCACAAGCACAAGGTGTGGTGGTCTCCAGGCACACCTGCCACCTAGAACCTTTTGCAGTGTCCTCAAGAAGCCACGAATGAAACCCCTGGTCCACGCAGACAGGGGGTGCTGCCTGGAGCACGAGGCCATAGGGGAGAGGGAGGCTGTGGGGGTCCATGGCAGGTTCCAGGGTCTGGTGCATCTTGGAGGTGAGGGGTGAACAGGAAATCATGGGAGAGATGGTGTCTCTCCTGCTGCCGAGTGGGGACAGGCACCCTAGTGGAGAGGCTTGACAAGACTATCGCTCCACTTCACACACAGAAAGCCGGCAGCCAGGCACTGAGGTCAGAGGTGATGGGCCAGCCAGGACACAGCCAGGCGGTGAGGCTGGGTGCAGTGTCCATGTCCCACCATCTGCTCCCTGCGCCACTGCCCCCTCCGGAGCAGGGAGTTCCCCACTGCTGTGTCAAGGAATAGTGTGGCAGCCACCATGGGAGTGTGGGGAAGGAAGGGACCAAGACCCTCCTGCATCTGGGAGGTCTGAGGGGAGAGGATCTTTTTCCACCCTGCTGCCAAGAAGCGAAAGGATGTTTGGTGCCCAGTGGAAGCCAATGCCTCACACAGGTGAGGTCTACAGCAAAGGCGGAGAACGACAGTGACAGCGCATCACTCCCAGCTGCCCTCACCTCGTGCCTTTCGGCAGTTTAGTATGGACATTTTATCAGCTGCTCCCTGAGACGGTCAGCTCTGCGGGGATAAGGGCTGTGTTTTGTCCACTACAGCGGTGCAGGGCTGAGAACAGTGCCTGGTGTGGTGCTGAATGTGCGTTTGTTGAACGAGTGGGTGATAATTACATTTCCTGAGCCAGGATGTGTCCCTGCAGACTGACAGGTCAGATTATTCACCAGTCACAATAATGTGTGCGGTGAGAGCCAGTGGGTCCCAGGAAGGACCCAGCCTCTCTCCTACGACGGCCACCATGGGCCCTCAGCAGCCACCCTGGATTCTGTTTTGCTCAAGCATAGTGGTGCTCACAAGGGCTACTCTGCACAGCTACTTTGTTAGCCTCATGTGCAGGTAGCGCTGGTGGCTCCATTCCAGACCCAGTCCCCAGTAGTCACCTGGAGACACACAGAGGAGCAAAGGAAACAGCCACTGGCCAATCTCGCAAGGAGCTGCAGTAGGCCTGGCACGTCCCGCCCAGCATGAAGCAGGCACCCTAAGCACACCGGGCTTGGGACCCAGGCAGAGGATTTCAGAGCTTGGTCTGGGAGGCACAGCCAGGCAGCAGAGATAAGGGACCATGCCAGCATGAGGCAAATGTGAGGATGTCACCAATGGCCAAGGCCAGCCCAGCTTCAAGGTTTTCCCACAGAGGGATCCAAGTACCACCTCTACTGGACATACTGCGGCCCCTGCTCGGAGGAGGGCTGGGTTACAGCAGGTACACGGGAGCAGCCTCTGCAGACCAGA